ATATTTCTTGAATTTAATGAATTTTGATTAATTGGAAGAAAATTTTCTTTACCAGTAGAAAATTTTTTTATTTTAAAGAAAAAAATCGCCAGTGAAGCAAATCCATAGGCGATTTTCTAAAATTCAGGGCGATTCATTTTCTGAGTGTATAATCACTTATCAATTTTTGTAACGCATTTATTTTTCCCAATTTTCTATTACCATTTTGTACATTCAACTGGTAGCGCTTTGTAGTATTTTTGCCACAATTGCTGCCTTTTTTGCGATCGAAAATCATTGAGCCAACCTCAGAGTGACCAAATCACACAAAATGCGCACTAATATATGTGTGTGTGATAGGGGGTCACATTTTCCTTTTGTCACCTTTTCACAATCGAGCGGACTTTTCAATGCATTTCATTTTGCGGTGCCCGCTCATTAGCCTCTCATCAATCGCTTAATTTCGATGGTGCCAACCGCTGGGCGAGCACCTCCCCTTCAGCCCCTTTTAACCCCTTTTAACCCCCCTTGAAAAGCACAGTGAGTGCCTGTGTGTGCCAATGCCACACAATGGCACCTATGATATGCCACCTGAGCGAACGTTGTGCCAGTGCTGCATTCAACGCATTCATTTGTCATACATTTATGCAATTTACCCCATTGTGCCACGCCCATTGAGTAGGGCGGATGGGAGGCGTAGGAGGTGGGGAAGGGGTGGAAAAGGGGCGGCACTGCACTGGGCACTGAGCATTTATTGAATTTTGTGACTTGAAGCATTTTACATTTTAAACATAAAACAAGCCAGAGCAAGTGCGTTGGTAGGTGAGAATCGACGAGGAGATACCGTAAATTACAAATTTTTGGTTGAAAAATCAGGATTTTAATTTTTGGTACAAATTTGACATTTTTCTTTATCGATTTTTGGCTGTAACTTGGGCAAAAATTGTCCCAAATCAAAAAGGCAGCTAACAACCTAACATTTAACATCAGTTAAATTTCCGTCGGATTTAATAAAAATAAATATTTGACCCAATTTCACATTTTTTGATAAGGGGTTTGATAATATTTTGAAAAAAATGGGAAAAATTTAAAATTTTTAGGTCGAAATGCTAATTGATTGGTGATTTTTTAAAGAGTCCAATAAGGTATGACATTCGGTAGTGTGAGCATATTTTCCAAAGTTATGGCCGAAATAATAATTTTTGAATTTGATGAAACGTTGATGAATTTTGGTCAAAACAAAAACATTTCCTACAGGCAACCCGCTGTTCGAATCTGTTCAGGAATGGTAATGGAATTCTCGATTGGTCCTACTGTTTGTAAGAGGGTTTTCGAGGGGGTTCCCTGGTTTTCGGATGTTTCAGGGGGTTCGGGTTTCGGGTTGCGGGGGAATCCCGGTAACAGGCCTCAGGTTCGTTTCTGTTTGGCCTTTTCGGCACATAAATTGCCCTGGCCAGACCAGAAAGGACCTGGTCCTGGGTGTTCTTGTTGTTATTGTTGTAGTTGGTATGTTGTTTTTGGTCCTGTCTGCCATTTAGCCGCATTTTGTTTTTCATTTTTTTCCTTTTTTGCCAGTGCGTGTGCCCTCCTGCGTGTGTATTGTCGGCTGACTGTTGTACCATATATGCACATATATGTATGTATGTATATACATGTGTACGGTATACGGTATGCACAACGGAAATGAATTGAAATTTTAAAACCCACAGCTGCGACCGCTTCCTGCGGCAAAAGTAGCACCAACCGACGACACTTCCCAATATACACAGATGTATGTACTTACACATGTCTGTCGTCTGTAGGTGTAGGTGGGCTTATTTATGTATGTGTGCGTTCCAGAGAGGTATTTCTATTATTTTTATTTAACATTTTTGAAAAGCGGCAGAAGAACGTGAATGAACCAAAATTATAATTCATAACATATGATTCAAAATGAATATCCATCAGAAACATCTGTCACAGAAGTCATAAAAAACAACCAACTGAAAAGAAACTAACTAACTGAAATATCTTTATGATTTAATGTTTGTTTAAACATTTTTCCATCTTAAATAAACAAATAGATGGTATGAAATGCATGAGTAATTTGTAATTAATTTATGATTATAAATTATAATTTAAATTTAAAAAAAAAAATTTATTATTTGTAATTTCCTAAAAATATGATATTATTTAAAGAAAACACAAGGCGTATGCGTAAATTGTAATTCATTTGTAATTAAAAATTGTAATTTAAAAATTATCATATAACTTTGTAATATCTTACAAATTGTATATTATTTATAATTTATAATTATAAATTATAATTCGGAAATTTATAAAAATGGTTTTTTATTATTTATAGGAAACACGAGTCGTATACGTAATTTGTTTTAATCAATTATTCCTATTAAACCAGATATAATTTTATAATTTAATTCTTAGCAAGAAACAGTGTTCTTAAAAATATGGAAATTAATAGCTAGAAAAATGGCTCAACAATACATTTAAAATATTAACCCAAGAGATCTTCTGTTTCTCCTGCCGAAATCAATTTTTGGAATTGCTGCTGCGTGCAATTCATTTAAATAAAAACACATATATGTGCAGAGATATGTGAGCAGAGACAAACAGGGATATACGTTGGACTTTATGTCTATGTGGACGTAGAAGTTTATATCGTTGATACACTTGGACGCATTCTTATGCCAAACACACACTCGTCTGTCTGCCGACCAGTATTTAAAGTTAAGCTTCGTTTTATTTAAAATTCCAATGTGCATTGAATCCCTCCTCCGTTCCATCGAAAACCGATACCGACATACCGAATGATGACACATCGCCCGAAATGTCTGTCAAATCGAAGTTCCAGTGGCTCCACTCCACTATGGTTTATTATTTCCGCTTCGAACTTGTTCAATTTGCAGCAAATAACCCAAACAGAAGCTGCAAAAATAATGATCGCAATGGTTTTATTTTGTTGTGGAATTTAATAACTCTTGACTTGCTAACCAATATATGTAGGGAAATTGTGAATGTGTAAAGATAGATTGAGAGATGGCCAACGAAGCTGTATCAAATCGAATAATAAAGCCAAACAAAATGATTATATATATCACTTTAACTAAAAGGAAGTGCGAGGGAGCTGGAGCTATGCATGTACTGCTTGCTCTAATTATTTTCCATATAACTTTTTAATGAACGGTCCGATTTGAAAAATTTCTTCTACATTTCAATAGGTATTAATATACCCTTTCACTCTACGAGTAAAAATATTTATTTATACATATTATAAACCAAGTGGCTCCCCTTCATTGCTTTCCACATATTTATGGACTCAAATATTTCCTCTTCATTTCCCGTCTCGCATTTTCTCCCTTGTGCATTTTCCCCCCACACCCCATTTTCACTTCTGTGGCTTTTCATTCGCGATAATTTAAGAGGGAAATTATGAAGAGCGACACGCGACAAGGTTCATCGGAAATTCCGGCATTTTATCGCCAACGCCACAAACTGCTGCAGTCATCTTCTTCTGCGTCAAAAAAAGAAGAATTACACACACTTGTTCTCGTTCCTTCTATTTTACGATTATTTTCTATTTTAATTATTTACATAAAAATGCTGCTACAAATGATTGATGGCATTGACATAGAGCCCAAAGGGAGCAGCAGAGAGAAGGGCAGTTCAGGATTCGCAATCGAAGCCAAATAAAGATGCCGATGATGACTATGACTATGATGATGACAACACACACTCGATTCTCGTTTCTCGATGGCAAATATTACGTATACGTACTGTGTGCGAGTGCCAGTGCATGTGTGAGCGACCGAGCATGTATAAATTGTAAATCAATAAATAAAATAAAAAATAAAATACAATACAACAAAAATCGAACGAGGCTCACGCAAAAATCGTAAATAAATAAAGCGCGCAAAGTGACGCAAAGTACGGCGCACGGAAAATGCAGCAAAAAAGGGTTAAGGCAGTGGGGTTAAGGGTTATTTTTCTCTTTTTTTTCTGTTTTTTTTTTCTGTAAGGACTAACATTGAACACTGGCATGTTGTTATTGCTATTGTTCCACGGGCAGCGGCGGCCCATTGTTTATTGTATTTTGTGTTTGGTATTTCGTGCCGAGCGCAGCGATAAAAATGCTGCTAAAGTATAAATTATGCCAATATAAGTTTGAAAATGCGCGAGATCGCAGCAACAACATTGGGCAATGAGTGAGACAAAAAGCGACACCAAAGATAGTCGAGAGCGGCACTAAAAGTTGCCCTTAAATATATAGTTAATTTAATAATTATGAATTTTAAAAGGGAGTGACATATTTAAAAAAAATACGCAGAGCTTTAAATAAAATATATAAATACTTTTTAGTGCTTTAACATATTCACATTTTTAAATACATAAATAATGATTAATTTTCAAACCAGCCAAAGGCATTACAATTACTTTAACTAAAAGCTCTAAGATTACAATTAGATTATGTCTCGCGATTTTCTGCTCTGTTTGTTTATTTCAATATTTATATATATTTATACTTATACTTTTTGTAATTTTTTAAATAGATCTTTAAATTTTTCTAACATTATTTTCACCCCAAATAACTGTCAATTAATATTCTCTAGCGACCCTCGCTGCAAACAATGGCCAGGAGACAATGTAGCCGAAGCGATAAAAGGCCATATTCCCCCATACACACACACACACACACACGTATCGGTATGTGTGTTTTTTCGGCTGGGTATTGGTATTGGTGGCCATTCGGGTCACGCTCAAAAAATGCGCATAATTGGCAAATTTAGAGTAAAATTGCTTGACAAATATGCAAAAAATGTGTAGCACACACACACAGAAAATGGGCGGGAGATTTTCACTTTAATGGCAAAGGGCTGCCAAAAATTTCAACGATTCGGCGGTGTGAATTATACAAAACAACTGTAAATTAAAAGGCTACCTATATTTATATATATCTTTAAAAGTATTTACCATGAGAAATCACTTGGCCATTGTTAATTTATGGCCTAGATTAAAACTTTTTCTTATCTCCTTGGACTAAACCAAGAAAAAACCCAAAGTGTTGAATTTATTTGTCTAATATAAAGTCACAGAATTTATGGGAATTTATAAGATTGCGATTGTCATTATGGCAAGCAACCAAAGTTATATAAAATCATTTATTTTCCTTGAAATGTTATTTATTATTTTTATGGGTAAAAAAAAAATATTATTTAATATTAATATTATTTCCTACGATTTCCTCAGACATCCGAGTGCTTCTTGATCCAGTCCTTGAAGTAGAACACCCTGGCGTAACCATCGGGATAGGTGGACCCGCAGCCGCCCACCACGAACCCGGCCACGCCCACCAGCTGGTTGTTGTAGATGGCCGGACCGCCGGAGTCCCCGTTGCAGGCCCCGTTGTCCACCACGTGGAGGAGGCACAGTTCGCCCTCGAATCCGAACTCGATCAGCTCCTCGCACTGCTCCGTGGATATCGACTTCAAGGTGTTGTACTGCAGATAGCGGGGCAAATCGCCCTGATGCTTGATCCTTCCCCAGCCCGAGATGATGACATCCACATCCGCCGGTGTGTCCACGCTGGGCAGTTGGATGATCTGAATGCTGCTAGAGAGGATCAGCGGGGTTTCCAGTCGCAGCAAGGCCACATCGTTCATAAAGTCGCCATAGGCCTCGTGCACGATCACCTCGGCCACCTGGTGGAGGACTCCGCCACTGAATCGATCATTCGAACCCGCTCGAATGGTGAAACGAGCCGCTTCGATGGCCAAGTGATTGCCGTTCTCATCCTCGTTGGTCACACAATGGGCGGCGGTTAGGATGTAGTTCCTCGAAATAATCGAACCACCGCAACTATGCGAACCGGCGTTCCGCAGCGACACCTGGTGGGGAAACTGCGCCTTCGCGGCATCCTCACCGCCCACCACACGGCCGTTCAGCTTGCCGGGTGCCGACTGTACGGGCAGCACCAGGCCGAGGAACAGCAAAGAGCTGACGACAAGCAAAACTCGGCTCGTTTTCATTTTCACAAATTCAAAATCACAAATGGGCAAGGCCCAACTCCCAGCACCTTCTTATATATACGGCCGGGGATTACAAGTACCATATCCGTATCTTATCACCCATCAACCGATGAGATTTATTATATATAGTAGGTATAGTATAATCTAATCGAAGTGCGACGGCGATTGGGAATTATGTCATTGCTAATTGTTTTATGGCTTCTTGGCCAATAATCTTGATTAACTAAGGTTTTTGCTTCAGTTTGCTTTAGCTACCTACATCTGCAAAATTCCCATCGCCTTTTTGGCAGTTCTCAAAATTACTTTCATCGATTCATTCGATTTTGCCCGCAATTATACATATTTTATATAACATGCAAGGTGGGAATTTCGCAGGTGCGCTTAATGGCCGGCCATTAAAATGGATTTAAAATTGTATTCGACAATGGGCTAATTAGGGGTAGCTAAGCCAAAAGAAGGCCAATGGTTCTTGGAACTTAATACTATTTAATACAAAAATGTTTAGAAATAATATATTTAGTATTCTGGTTAAAAAGTGATCTAAAAATCATTTCATATGCCTTAAAAATTATTTAAAAGAAAGATAGTATTTCGATAAAAAAAATATCAATGGCTTTCTATTAAACTATTAACCCACGTTTTCCTAAGCATTATCTATGGCCAACTAATTGTCAACACTTATATCATATCATTTAAGACACCAAATATGACAAATAATCGATATTATCGATAGTCCGACTCAAAACTTTCAATAATCGATCGACATTTTATTTAGTTATCAATCTGCAGACAAACTTTATATCTATTTCACATCCGAGTTCGCCCTGATCCAATCGTTGTGGAAGTAAACCCTGGCATAACCATCCGGGTAGCTGGTTCCGCAGGCGGACCAAACGAACCCGGCCACGCCCACCACCTGGTTGTTGTAGATGGCCGGGCCGCCGGAGTCCCCGTTGCAGGCCCCGTTGTCGGCCTCGTGGATGAGGCACAGCTCGCTCTGCACCCCCCAGCCAATGAGGTCGTCGCACCTCTCCAGCGATATGGACTTCAAGGTGTTGTACTGCAGATAGCGCGGCAAATCGCCCTGGTGCTTGATCCTTCCCCAGCCCGAGATGATGACGTCCGAGTCGACGGGCGTGTCGGCGGTGGGCAAATCGATGGGCTGGATGTTGCTGGACAGGATCAGTGGGGTTTCCAGTTGCAGCAGGGCCACATCGTTGAGGAAATTCCCGTACTCCTCGTGGACAATCACCTTGGCCACCTGGGCAAGAACGCCGCCACTCAGGCGATCATTGGAACCCGCTCGAATGGTGAAACGATCGGCGTCATATGCAACGAGATTGCCACTCGCATCCTGGGTGGTCACACAATGGGCGGCGGTTAGGATGAAGTTCCTCGAAATAATCGAACCACCGCAACTGTGCGAACCGGCATTCCGCAGCGACACCTGGTGGGGAAACTGCGCCTTCGCGGCATCCTCACCGCCCACCACACGGCCTTCCGGTGTACCGGGTGCCGACTGTACGGGCAGCACCAGCAAACAGCTGGCCAGCAGCGTTCCAATAGCAGCAAGTCGAGCGGCTCTCATTTTCCAAATGGCCAAAGCCCAACTAGGCGCACCTCCTTATATAGACGGGCGATTCAATTGATTTATAACATCTCATTAATCGCACTTCTATCAACGATATGTGAAGGAATGTATTTGAAAAGTGTTAAGCGTTCTAGAACGATTGTAACTAAACTTGTTTATTGGTGTTCAGATAAATGATATTTTTTCTATAATAAAGGGACCTCCTTAAGTTATACAAATATATTTTCCCTTCTAGTGAATTAGTTGGCTTTAAGCTTTACCATTAAGCATGTAATATCTTATCGCACATGCGATTTATTTTGAGGTCTTATAAAGAAGAACCAATCTTATCGCAATGGTCAACTATCGAGGTGAATCGACGATTTCTAATAGCAGAGAACTAATTTATGAACTAATCTTAATGGGGAAATTCATTCAATATTTTGACCTTGCCAAAACAATAAATACGTTAGCATACTTTGAGGCATAACATTTTTTTACGAAGACTTGAATAGTTTAAAATAAATTATATAAAAAATAAATCCTCCTTGATAATCCGCAGAAAGACTGCTGCTAAAGCGAATTACCAAATCTACATGCAACGCCAAAAGAGCCCAGAAGAATTGGATAGAAAGGGACCAAAAGAGGGAGAGGGAAGACACCTGAAGGACAAAAGGGCAAACTGTGGCAGAGGAACAATAACGGTAACGGACTGTGAAACGATTCATGATAAATCTATTAGCTCATCCAAAGCTCCATTGTTTTTTGGTCGTGCGAAAGAGAGGTGCTGTGCCCGGCAGAAAGGGACGGCAACAATTGACGGCTGAAGACACAATTAGAGAAGTGTGAAAGAGAGGGGGGATGGAGAGGGGGATAGCAGGAATTCTCCACGCTTATTTGTTTGCCTGCATTCGAATGCGTGTCTGCTTGTTTGTTTGTTTTTGGTGGCGACTGAGACTGTGGTAACTTTTTAATTTAATCAAAACGAAGCGAATGCAAAAGCGAGAAGAGCCTGCGAAGGGATAAACGCAGACAGACCAAAAGAAAAGCGCGAATCAGTGGTACACAGAAAGAAATCTTATATTTATAACTTAAAACTGTAGGGAAATATAATTTATTGCAGTGGCACTAAATTTACTGCTATAATCGGGCATTTAAAACCTGAAACAAAATGCAAAAATATTTTTAAAAACTTAAAAGTAATAAATAAATAAATATAATAGTTTATATATAACATTTTTATAGATGGACGGAGTTTTATTTTATTTTCTTTAATTATTTTTAATATCTTTAGAATAAATACTAATAAAAGTAATTATATTAAATTTATTTGAGCTGGTCGGAATTTCTTTTACTCATATAAACAATAAATGGACTCCCCAAATATTCTTTAATACTATTCACAAAATTTCTCTCAGTGCAGCGACAGTGAAAGAGACAGAAGAAGCGTCGACCGTCAGCGGAGTTGGCGTAAAGTTTATATCAAGGTTCGCACTTAATTATTGACAGTGGCAGGCCGGATGCTTGAGGTATTCTCCCTTTATAAAGGGTAAATGAACAGGGTATTTTCATTGCAGCGAAGAGTTTGTAATGCCCATAAAGTATTTGTACGAATAGAATTGAAAGAATAATAATTTCTGTCCTAAACTTTGAAAAGAATTTTTTCAGAATTTATTAGACATTATCAACAATAGTTTAACATTCGAATTATCCAATATTTTATATTATTTTTTATGGAAAGGTTTTTCTATATTTTGAGCTTAAGAGTTTCATAGAATTTATGAAAATAAAAAATTGTAATTAGTTTTATAATTTTCAAACAATTACATTTATTTATTTTAATTAACAAAAAGAGTCTTTACACTTCGCTTTCTACTTCAGCTTCATTTTCCTCTTTTTTTTGCATTTTCTTGTGCCCTTTTCCAGGTTTCCATGCCATTCCACGCCCTGCGGTCAGTGAAAAGGGGGCGTGACAGGCAGACGGGATGGGATGAGGTCTAGACATTTAAATTATGCACGGCTTTCGTCCGTCCTGTTAGAGAACTTACCATCATCAGTGGTTTAATCAATCGATTTTTAATTGCAGCCATCTTAAAAAACAAATGTTGGTAAATTTACAAGATGATTTAGGTAGCACTATAAAAATAATATATGCATTTTTATAAATTTTAAAATAAATTGAATCAGTTATAAAAAAGCAAGATTGATTTTTTTAAAGATTACATTTTACAACAAATATTAAAAAAAATGGATTTTTTAAAAACATTTTTTAAGCTTTAAACTTTAAACTATTTCTCTTTAATTCTACCAGTGCAGTTACAATACCCACTACTTTTTTATTAAATTTTTTAAAGTTATGCAAAAATGATTCGGTTCTGGAGCGTTGCCTTTGCGCTGCCATTTGCTTTTTTGGATTTATCTTTCATCTTTGGCAAAGTGTTTCACAACTATTTCACTGCACTTGAGAGTGCAATGCGATGTGGAAGGGAGAGGGGTAGAGGGAGGGAGAGGGGGCATGGTAAAGGGGCGGCCAAAGGGTTGGCATAAAGGGGGTGGAGTTGCGCTGAGTTGGGTAAAAATCTTTCGAACAACTCCCTTTACCGTTGGCGCTGTTATCGAATTAAATACATACAGACAGGCGGACAGACCGACAGACAGACATATATAGAGGCAGCGCCACAGGGCGATCAATGTGCAAATTTATGGAGCGAAAGGCGGTACCGGGGGATGGGTTCTATAGGGTGGTCCTATAGGTGGGCTGGGCAACAATTTTGGCAGCCGAGCACGTGAATTGAGTCCAAAATTTTGCGCACTTGTGCAATGATAGCGAACCACCGAAAGCCAAAACCAGCAGCATCAATCCTCGGAACCCCCAACCCCTCGAACTCCCCATCCAGTGACTCCAAAAACCCGAAGCCAGGTAAACCATGTACTCCACCAATTGCATGTATGTATGTAGGTAGGTATGTATATATATGTACGTCTCTGTAGCTTCCTTAAATATGCACATAGATGTGGGCAAAAGGGGGTTTCCCATGGGCGGCGGCGAGCGTTGGCCATTTGGCGCTGCTGATAGCCAGAAATATTAGTCATTGCCTTTAAGTTCTTTGGCTTTTGATTAATGCGCTGGACATTTGTTAGAAAATGTTAAAAAAAAAGGTATTTTTAAAAATAAGAAACATTTTTTAAAATTCCCCTTTAAATCATTAAAATTATTAAAAAATATTACCAAAATCTTTCGCGAATATTCAATGGAAAACCCTGCTTCTGCTGAATGAAAAGCACAATTGAAAACCACTAAAAAACTGGCAACCATAAAAAACTCACGTAAACTTGAACTATTTTTATCGTCTGCAACTAACAAAACAGTCTCGCAATCGAATCAATTGCCGTAATATCCGAACATGACAACTCATTAGATCCATAATAGATAATTGAGGCATCATCATCGTGATGGCGTGGTGGTGCCCATCATCTTCAGCCTGCAATGGAATCCCATGGAGAATGGCCAAAAAGTTATTGAACTGTTGCCATTACGCTTCAATTGATTGTGGAGTGGAGTGGAGACTGGAGAGTGAAGGGTGGAGAGTTGCCAGGGGCGGGGTGACTGGCCAATTATACCTCCGTATAAGGGGGATATTTTCGAATTGGAATGGTCATGTCCGCTGCGAGAGCTCCTCCTTATCGCCATTGCACATTGCTCATGTCCATGTCCACGTTAGCGACGCCTCGCGACTCGCGACATTTGCCAAAAAAGGAGGCGTATAACCCCCCTCGGTCAACCCAACCAAGCCGCGTCCTTCAAGCCCAGCAGCTTTTCGTGCTTTTCGGGCACTGCAAAAAATAAGATGAGAAAATAAATAAGAAAATCATAAAGCTCTTTGCTTCAAAATATTTAAAAATGATCTACAAAATACTTAAATTTTAGTCCATTAACATTTTATTAATATTTTACCTCTTTTTACCATTTTGTATAATAAAAAAAAAAATATATATATACCGCAGTGTTACCAACTCCCTATATTTTTCATTTCAGTGTGCCCAAACAGCGATAACAGAGCATCAACCTCGCTCGAGACAGAGAGCAAAGAAAGAGGGTGAGGATTGAGAGGCATCTGGCGGGGAAGGGGGCGGAAAAGAAAGGAGAAATGGAGAAAGAGGAAAGGGGCAAGGGGCAAGGAGGCGAGTGGCCCAGTGCATCTGCCACGTGCAGCACTTGATTTAGTTGCGGCAAGGAGTCAACGACATGCGACCAAGGACCATGCACCAGGCAATTGAAATTAACATTGGCCTGGCCAGGGGTCACCCGGTGACCCCTTCTCATCCCACAGGACCCCCTACCCACTACTCCGCTGACAGCTCATTTCACTTTCTCACTACTTGCGACGGATTCCCCTTTGGAGATTCGACTTCGTAATGAAAACATAAAAATCCTTCCATATATGTGTTTTTGTGTGCAACCGAAATTAATTTCCATTTCGTACATTTAATGGAATTTACTTGTTGTCTGTCAGGCCAGAAGGATTGGGCCAGGGGGTCTCTACTGTGACTGATCCTGCCCCGTTATGCCATCTATATATATATATATCCCTCGAAGGCCTGCAATCCACTGCAGTTGGTTATTTTGGGGGTTTTCGGGCCTGTTTGTTTGATGGCTGTCTGTCAGTTGTGGCCTAATTTGCAAGTGTGCAACCCGGGAGGTGAAGCAAATCGGTGGTAAGAGCAATAGAAAACCTAAAGGCAGGTGTTATTTTTGGGGAAATTAAAAACCAGAACCTAGACAGCTAACATTTTTACCATTACCATTACCATACATGTTTAAAATACGTGCGGCCCCACGTTGGGCGCCAAAAATATCGCGCAACGCCGTCAAATAATTATAAGTACTATAATTTGTTATATTTTTCAAATATTCGATTGTTTAGAAAGTAAAATTATATATTTGATATAAACATGGTTAGAAATTACCTATTTCACAACATCATAACTTAAATATCATACCAAATCGATATTAGCATTTTAAAACTCTTCTGGTCCTC